GAACTGTCACGCCTGGGTAGAAGACCAAACCGGACTTTTTCTACGAAACTCTGAAATCCTCTGGCACATGCTTCTTATTCCTTCCATTCTACTTCACTTCGGCTTCGCTCGTCGCCCTCGTCGCCTTCGTCCACTCGCCGGTGGGTTCAGACGTCGCCGACGGTACAACCGCGATTCTTGCCATTTTGTCGAGCGAATCACCGGACTTCGCAGACCTCCTTTTCCTAGTTCGCGATACCCGCCTCTGTGCTTCCTAGTCGGCGCCGTTCCGAGGATAACTGAAGGTTCTATTTTTTATCATAATTTTTTGCCTATTTCTGCGTTGGATTTACATATAGGATTAGCCTTTAGTCGCGGATATTTTGAAATATTTGCCCTCTATCATGGTTTATCACTAGACATTTGCTAGTAGGATAGTATACCTTGTGGCACTGCATTTTTGTTGATGAATGATTGTCTCTGTTGATAAGACTATTAGAGTAGGCGGATTTGAAGGGTTTGTATTGTTTTCAATTTTTTTTTGCTATTTCGGTTAGGCATTACACTATAGCAGACTAGCATTAAAGTTCATATCTTTATTTGTGTATAAGTCATGCGGGCTTGTTATATCACCTAGGACATAGGTGTAATCTATTAGTTAAGAAAATTAAAAAGATGCGCATAATACAGTGAAGGGCTGTGAAGTTTTCCTTTGTTCGGACGGAAACTACCGGCGTAATTACCGGCGCACAGTTCGCCGGTAATTACCGGCGTATACTTTGCGTCGCAAGAGAGTTCGTGGGTTTCCTGCATGCACTTTGCGGCGTTATATCCGCCGGTAATGGCCGGCGCATAATGCGACGATAATTACCGGCGGAAATGGCGCCGGAATTAAGACGTTTTTCAACGTCGAAAACGATCCGTTTTTTCGCCGGTAGTTCGTCGGAACATGCGCCGGAGAAATTTCCTACGCAAATTTCGCGCCGGAAATAATTTATCGACGCGGCCAAAACCGACGTATGCATTTCCGCCAAAAAGTGCGATAGAAACTTATGGTTCCGTCGGATTATCCATGTGTTCCGGCGGATTTCGTCCGCCGGTAATAAGGGGTTTTCCTGTAGTGTTAGACCATAAACCCTCAACATGTTATATAATTCTTGAGAAAATTCAGCCCCTAAGCTTACAACATTATTAAGATCCTATAAACAGAAAGCCTGCCTAGATGCTATGGTGGTCAGACCAGAGGCATTCATTCAATAATAAATGACTTCTTGGGATTTAATCTAAAAAATACTATAAGTTTCTTCACTTAGACGTGACATATCTAAATAACAATATTACAAAAATATTTGTATCATGAGAAAAATATCATCATCAAGAAAAAAGCTGGGTGAAGGGGATGGAAAGATGAATTGCACTCACAATTGCACAAACCCAAATCCACGATTTGCATCAGATCCTGCAATCATGCAAGAAAACAGCCTAAGACAAAATCTTCTTCAATTGACATGATAAATATAAAAAAATGAGAAGAAGATAGTAATTAATTAACTAAAGACATATCAAAACTATTATACATGTAGATGGAAAATGCATTTAAAAGCCAAGACACATAAATCAACTGAATTAGGTGAAAACTATTATTATGTAAGGACAATAACTACTTTTCAATATACCTAAACCATACAAGACCCTAATTTACCGTTGAATATATAGGTTTAAATTTTTGGAGACATGCTGTTGGAATTCTATTAATACTATGGGGCTTTCACTAATTATCATAACTTAATCCAAACATTGAAGGCATGGAAGTTTCTATATATCTTCAACAATGAAAGAGCTAGTTTGACATCAGTTTTATTTCCAAGATAGACCAAAGTATTGTTTCAAAAGTAAAACTGGGTGATGGTCTATCTTTCCAATAGGCATTCCATCATTTTTTAAATAATCAAATAAAATTGGTTAATTTATTTTAATGGTGAATAAAACCAGTACATAAGAATTCGAATTTGCATGTGACAATGTTAGGAAGAAGAAATATGAGAAATTCCGTACCTGGTGTACTTTACAAATACTACTTGGGGCATGAATATGGATGGCTTGACCAAATCAAAGCATCAAAATCAATGTTACTAAACAAGAAATAAAATTAGCCAACTTCCATTATTTTATTGCCCAAATTAAAAAAATCAGTTTGTTTAATTATTGGCTTCAAGTTCAACAATTTAGGGCTGCATAAGTTTTTAAATTAGCTTATACTAAACCATATTTATAAATCTATCTAAGCAAAACCATACAAATCTCATCTACAACATCTTCTACTTCTTTCACCAGTTCAGGTGCTGAAGCTAATAAGCTCCTCCCCCGCCTTCAACATTCCTCAAGCAGGGCATTATAACATGAAGGAGCCATCATTCCAAAAGTCAACTTCTTAAAATATTTTTCCATGCAGAATGAGATATTTCGCATGCATCTTATAATGAACAAAAGTCATTCCTGCGATCAAACTATCAATAAGAATAGCAATAATCTTTGACCCTACTATATGCACGGCCCATCATTATTGTTGACTAAAGTTTCCATGTTCAGTATGTTGTTAAATGGCAGCAACTCCACCAATTCGTCCAAAGTATATTGCTACCTTGGAGGGAAGTACTAAGACATTGACCACTTCCTAATCATGATTTGTGAATTGTGATTGATTCGGTTTATTTGATATTTTACCTCATTAAACCACATGAAACTTAAAGCCTGCATAAATCTTCGTCCAAATTACATGAAATTATAGTTACAGAACCTAACTCCTAAAATGCTGGTTATTTGGTACGTTTATAGTTTAAACAAAAACTATCACACTCCCAGTCAGGCCCTCGTTATAATTTAGGCACAGGTAAAAGGAGAAATAAAATATGCATTGCCGACATACCCTTCTTTGTTACCACAAAGCAGCGCCTCACAGGTCCCACCTCGCTAAATACATCTTCCAGCTGCAACAAATATCATAAAAAAGAGGAAATCTTTGAACAATCCCGCGGTTCAGAACAAAATGAAGTTCAATTTGATATCACGAAGTATATATATATATATTAAAAGAGACATCTAACCTGAGAAGACTGAAACGAGTACGGGAGATTTGAAACAAATACTGTGGCAGGGCAGTTATCCCTAACCAATCCACCATTCTGAACCTTCTTTCTCTTCCTCGTATCAGCCATGCGGGACTGTATGGTAGCAGGATTTCAACAGGATTTAAGCTAAAACCTGCCAAACAGCAAAAATGGCAAATTTAAATACCGTTTCTCCCCCGCTTTGCCCAAAATCTTGAGGCTTGTTTAGATGCAGGATTTAGCCAAGATTTTAGCTAAATCCTGCCAAACATTGAAAAAAAAAAAAAAAACATAGTTAAATCTCACAGTAAGTCTAATCTCTACTTTCGCCATTTTTGCCCCAAATCCCGGATTTTCTAAATCGGACTTTTTGCGGAATTCGTGAATCGGACCGAAGAAGCGGGCGAAAGGGAAGATATATCGTCACCTTCACGGAGAGCTCCCAGCGCAACTTCGAACCCGACAGGAACAACGTCGGAGGAGGAGGCGGAGAAGCTTCGACTCTTTCAGAACTATGCTTCACCCGAAGAAGAACAGCAACGAATAAACGCATAAGAGGAAAAGAAAACCCTAGACAACCAATGGCAAGCGACTCGTTCGAAGCCCTACCCCACGCGAAGCAGCAAAGCCGAAGAGCGAATATCTACTTCACGAACAATGCAGAAACCTCAAAAGCAAAGCCAACCCGCCAATGAGGATTAGATTAATCTTAAATTATTAATTATGTATTATTTTAATTAAAACAATTTAATATATAAATACTTTTTTATATCTAAATACTTAATTAGGTGATTAGTAGTGTAAATAATAATTAAATAAATAGTAAGTAATGGAATATTTAATTCATTAATTATATAAATTATAAGTATAATTAGTAATTAAACTTTTACTAAGATAATATTTAAAATTTTAATAAAATAATTAATGAACACAATAATTAAATCATTACTTATTTTAAATTATATTCAAATAGCTATTTTATTGTTATCATTATAATTAGCATTGAAATATATATTAAAATAACACCTAAATAAGTTATTAGTAAAATATTTATTAAAATAACGCCCTACTTATAGTATTCATAACTATAATTTATTGATATTAATAAACATTAGAATTAATAGTATCTCATATTTAAAACAAAAATGTAAAATGAGTTAATCACCTTAAAGTTTGAATAGCATTATCAAACAGTCTCATTAGATTTGTCAATATTTAACATATAGTAAATATGGATTTGGATGATTTACGAAATCCTACTAAAAATGAATATTACATGCATTCAAACAAGCCCCTAACTTAAATATGGAAGTCTCTCATGAACTCCTTATGTCCTTAACACTATTGCACACACCATCGGTTTCATTATTGACTTCTCCAGTGCGAACAAGTTGCAACTTTTCAATGAACTCCAGTAGCTAACTCATCTTCTCTTTCGAACACAGCATGTGTCGTCGATAACTACTCCCAATGAAGTCCCTTCTCACTCTACCAGTCTCTTTGATGCATGCCCCCCAACAAACTCCTATCACGATGTCCTCTCTCCTTCACACAAAAAGGCCCGTCAACTTCTGGTGGCAAGCTCTGTCGCGCCTTTCCCATACAAGGTTTTGGAATTAGGGTAGGACCTGCATTGGAAATTATATTAAAGGGAAATTAGTTTCATGTACATAAATACACACAAGCAGTCAACCACTTATCTATTATTTGTATTCCACACTTAGGACATGCTTGCCTAAAGTAGATTGTGATGTTGTGAGGAAAGTAACTCAGATATTATGGTTTTAAGAGATAGCTCTTCATAGCAAAAACAACAACAACAACAACAATAATAATAATAATAATAAAAGTAATTGTCAAGCAAAAAAATTTGGCTTATGTTTGAAAAGCAATACAGCTAGAAAGTTGTTCCAAATAAATCCTTAATTTGTTCATAATAAGAAAAAAAAATTATAAACCCAATTCAAGTAATCTTAGTGTGTCATATCTTCACCATTTGGTCCTAGTATGGTGCAAGGTACTCTAATAAGATGGGAGGAAATTGGTCTTATGATCTTGCCTTATAGGCATGATGGCATATCAAGTATGTGAGGGCGACTTTGTAATTGCCTGAATTTTTGAAAAATATTTTAAAAAGAAAATCTATAAATTTTAGGCTGAAGCGCTTTGACGCTATAAGTGAGAGTGCAACAATGCCGAGAAAGCATTGTCACGACTCTGAGCACTTTGTTCCACAATAATAATGGGAGCTGCATGCAGCGTTACAGCACTGGACAATGAAAAACATGTTTTAATATAAATTTTTCCCCTCAGTAATTATGCTCCCCTTTATTACCTTAGCTTGATGGGTAAGGAGAGGAAAGGAATAATAAGGAGAAGAGAAGGAGAGGAGAGACAAAGTTGAACGGAGCGTTTTCATCTGACGGTTCTGTCAAATATTTTTTTCTTCTAATCGTGATAGGTAAACCAAATCCTACCTTTGCTTTCAATTGTTTTGTGTTTGATGAATTTAATCTCCTCCAAATTGATGAAAAATAAAAAATAAATTTTCCTAATTTACCGCACTTTCCAAATTCATTTTTTTTTATACGATGATGTGATTCTTATGATCATTTTGACTATAATATTATTAATTTCATCAGATAAAATGGTAATTTTGATTTTCTAACGATAATGATTAGTATATAAATTGTTAGATACTTTATAGTACTTCACAAGGTTGTCAAAATAGGATTGGACAACGAAATCCCAAACAAACAAATGTATATGTATATTACAAATATAATTACATGCATATTAAATTGTCTTTTAAATTAAAAAAAAAGTTTAATAAAATATATGTATAAATATATATAATTTTTAAAAAGAATAATAACATAATATTTAATATAATATATACAAGTTTCAATATAAAAAAATTTATGTTCCTATTTTACTAATTATATATGCATTATAAGCTTAAATTTACAACCCAACTAATTTCATAATTTAAAACTCTAACTCTTTTGAAGAATTCTCACAGGTTTTATTCCTAAATATCATAGAAGAATTTAAAGTTGTTTTCTTTGTTAATTTATATATATATATATATATATATATATATATATATATATATTAATATATATATATATATATATATATATATTATAGGATAAACTGAAAAAAGCAAAATCACAAAACCAAATAAAGGTTGTATGATGTGGCAAACTAGCAACTTTTTGCATGTCCCTTTAAATATATATATTTATAATTTTAAAAATTTTAATTAAATAAAAATTTAATAGTAAAATTTTATTTAAAATAATAATATATATTGAATTGACTGGTTCAACGGTTTTTCAATTTGATTAGTTCTCATAGGTTCAATGAGAATCTTATTTTCTAACTGGACCAAACCCGACAAACTTTACCAATTCACGGTTTGAACTGAGCAGTTCAGTCCAGTTTTTAAAACATTGATATTTCAATGCATGTTATTGAACTGCATTAGGGAAATGATATAATTGATATATGATGGATGAGACATTTACATGTAATTGAGGAAGGTTTGGTTGTAAACACTGTAATTAATATTTGTTGATTATTAAAATATAAAACCTATGCAGGAGGGTGGGTAGACGACTTTACTTAAAATAAATATTAGTGGTGTGATTTTGGATGTTAGCCTATGACTAATTGATTGAATTATGCCAACAAGTAGAGAGTGGTGTCTCTTAATGATTTATTGAAAGCCACCAATGAATTGATTTAATATTCATGAACATTTATGGTAAGATAAGACTAATAAATAACCAGGGAATAGTTTGGATAAAAATGTTGAAAATAATACATTAACGTTGAATGTCTGACCATACTATTCATAATCCATTCACAATTATATTACATAACAACACAAAAATGATTGAAGTATATCGAACTATCATTTAAATTGATACAACATAACATAACATATGACATATATACTTATAGAGCATTGATAGACATATTGATACACTATATTGGCATGACACATTTATAGAAAAGTACACATGACATATCATTGATAGAAACATATGATTAACATATTTGGTATGAATAATAATTGATAGATAATCTACATATGTTTATCGTGTGACACCTAACATTGTTTATATCCTTTTATTGATTTCTTAAATGCTTTCATTTTACTGATCATATTTGAGTTAATTATTTTTTCTCTAGATGTTTGTTAACTCTTCTTGTTGTCCAATAGAATATCCTCCCCTAATTAACTATATCAATAGTTCATCATTAATCACCACATTAGTGTTCCCATAAATTTTGCTTGGATAAAAGAGGAGTCAATACAACATGAATACATTGATCAATTATGAAATAAATAAGGTTGGTCAATTATAACTTCCTAAATGGATCAGACATCCCATTAAGTATAAAGCTACCACCAAAATTTCATTTCATTGGGTGTTGATTAGATCACTCAAGATCCACCAAAAAGGTCATCCCTTGCTCATTTATAAGATATATTACTTTATATTACTAAATTAATTCATATAAACCTAAATGATTCTACATTTTGCCTCAATACTATGACAATCCAAAGTCTAATTTGAAAGAAGTTGCATATTTTTTATCTTTATTTAATCTACCAGAGCTTCTAATAATTCACTTGCATAATTAAGTCTAATAAATAAATTTGTAAATCTAATACATCAATTCATTAATTTAATATTCATTTTCCAAGTACATGTTCAATAATTTAGTAGTTTGTTCTACAAATGACAATATTCCATTAAACAATCTAGTTACAAAAAATAAAATCAAAATATACAAAAAC